CAAAGGGAATTGAATTTGAGTAGCGCAGTGTTTATTGTCGACATGTTACCACTACGCCACACTGCCACTGACTCTATTGTAATACAAGGAGTACGTGAATTTTAATTTAAACCAGGGCTGATCCATATTATATTTATAATGTGATTGTCGACAAGGTAAATTAATATTGTGTCATAAAAGTCGACTACGTTACTTATATTCATAGTTAAAGATTAGTAAAACCAATAGGTTTACTGCGCAGTTAGAAAAGGGTATTTGTTTACCTGTTTTGCATCTTTAATTTAACAGAAATCCAGTATATGACTATTATTTAAAGTTACTAGGCACTGATCGTTTGATAGTCAGAAAAAATGTGAAGAGAAACTAGTCATAGTATATTGTTAATAGTTAAAAATAAGATTCTGGTTTTGCCATGTTGCCTGCTACGAAAAAAATAATAACGATGAGAAGGGAAAGTGTAGAGAAATAGATCGAAATTCATCTGGGCTCTGGTTTTTTTCGAGAAAACTTAAACAGTATTCTAGATCGAGTGGTTTGGCGTGAATGATATAAATGAGCAATAGGATGACAAAGTAAAGATTCCTTCAAGATTGAGAATCCATATTCCGTCCATATAGGTAGGTTCCTTTTTGTCTTAGTACTGCAAAATAGGTGTCAAGTAAACCTGACAACGAATTTTGCTATAATTTATCGCCAATAATTCTCCGCGCCCTGGTCTCGGTAAGCAACAAACCTGTAATTCACTCCATTTAATCGACCTTAAATCTTCCGTAACTTTTGGGAAGGTTACACCATAAAATTTAATACCAAATGAAACGTCAGATTAATTAACTTAATTAAGGGATCTTTATAAACCAAGTGTCAGCATACTTAAAATAATTAAATGTTTCTTCCTTTTAGTAGAAATGGCAATGCAAATACCAGGGCGTAAACATGTGTCCGTAAACAAGCGTCCGTAAACAAGGAAGCTTAAGGGTTGGCCCATGAATGAGAGATGTCTACTATTTGAGTAATTAATCGAAAACATAGATTTTAGAATAAAATTTTTTATAAAGCCTGCGTAGCAATATCTAAATGGGACGGATATTTATATAACTAATTATACCATAGGTAAGTTTTGCTTCGACCCAGAACTAATAAATCAGATACTGACCGAGTCAGTGTTGTAGCCTACAGGGACTACGGTCCAACAGATGCGGGAAAAAATAAAGAAATGTTGCGTGCTTCCCAAGAAGCTTGAAACTCGATTGTGCCAAGTGACTACGCAAAAGTGTCGCCTAGCCATAAGACGGAAACTCGCTATCTCTTAGTTTCTCAGCAAATATCATGGACCCTTCAGATACCAAATTATTAATAATTAAATCAAATAAATAACTAAAAAATTTATTAAATGAAGTGCAGTATTTTCAAACGAGTCAAAAGTATGATGGCAAATGGTAACCGTCGCAGATATCAAGCAATGAAAATTGGGGACGGAATGGATGAAGAAAAAGGGAATCAGAATGAGATGCAGTGATGAATGAGCGAGTAGCAACTCAGGGAAAGCGAAAAGTTAAACATTGGACTATGAAAGCACTTTAAACGTTTGATAGTATGAAAGCAGATACGTGATTTGCTGTAAATTAGGATCAGGCATATAGTAATATAGAAGCAAAGAAGTTTCGCAACTAGAGCTCGTGAGTTGCGAAATTAAATGACAGCTTTGGACAGAAATAATGTGAGCTCATACCAGTAGCAAAAATTTATTTCTTAAAAGTAAGAAAGAACACAGGATTTTAGATTAAAGGCCCTAGAAGAAGCATGTGAAAACTACGAGAGCTGATAGAGCGGTACATTGAGATAAAGTAAGATCTAGCCATACAGAAATTATGTTCAACAAAGAAAAAGTTTCGGGATGACTGAGCGTCAAATTCCCAAAGCTGAGTGAATTTATTCCAACCATGTGATTTAGTATGAGAATACATGGACTTCGCAAGTAAATTATCCATGAAAAATAGAGTTTAGTTTCAAAAAAGAAAATAAGCTAAGCAAATCAATGAGATCTGTAACAAAAGAAGCGACCAGAGAAGTCTGGGAAAATGATTCAAATTAGCGGCTAGGAATTTATTTTATAATTCGGTTCGGGCCCCAACATTATGTAAGGATTAAAAAGCTAAGAGGAAGGGAGAAATTCATTGATGACTGTGCAAGTGTGAATGAAGAAGCTTATTGGATGATTACTTGAGAATTCCGAGTTCCAAAACAACTTCATTCGACGTGCTATAACAAGGTCACTCACCGGTTGCTCGAGCACAAGCACCCTGATGGTCAAAATTTGGCCACGATGTATAGGCTTATTACTATGGTGACATTAGTAAAGGAAGAAAAGAAGAAGGGATCAAAAAGCATGAAAATAAGGACAGTCTAAGATAATATATCAAGGCAGATGATCCCTTCTAGGGAAGTTTAAGTGCATCGTCTAATTTGGATCGAATATTAGTGAAACGATCAGAGCCAGTATAATCAATCTCTCCACGTTCCCAGGCCATTTGGCGTTCAGCATCAGAGTGGTCGGAATGAGCAGAAGAGCCAGAGTAGAGAGGACCGGTGTGGCAAATTTCCAGAGTGGCCAGATGCCCAACGAGACCGCCCTAGAGAAAAAAATAGATTCTATAGACAACAGCAACAAGCAAATGATTTCTGAAGACAAAATAATTTAAGCCAAAATCATAAAACATTATCAGGATATTTATAAGTCTGAATCAATTAAATTAATCGAAACGCAGATATTCAGATATAAGAATGCTTTGGTAAAGACTATGTGACTAGGATAACGCCATAATAACTCACCTGATCGCGACACAATAAACTATGCAATTAGCGATATTTGTAAGTGGATAAATTTAGAATTTATAAAAGATCCTTAGTTTAAAGACAGAAGTAAATTTATTTGGTACAGAAGGGATATACAATAAGAAGGCTCAAACACAAGAACAAAATGAAACTAATAAATATGAGCCAAGGCAGCAACATCACTGACAAGGCATCAAATTAACTAGACGACCTTTAAATATTGCAAGCCGTAGTGAAGTTGAGCATATGAAAGTTTTGTCTTCATTAGTTGATGCTTATATTCTGCAGACTGGTCAAACATTATGAATATAATAGGTATTCTACTTTCAAAATAAAATACTGGCATCAATAATTACAAAATAATCTTTAAACAGTATGAAAGAGTTAAATCCATAAAGGGGCCCAGTGAGAATGGGAGCTAATGATCTGAACGATAAGGATAAGTGAACTCGAAGGAGTTGAACTCGAA